ACGACACTACGAAGCTGATTCTGCTGCCCAACCAAATCAACGTGCACTTCATCGACAAGGACGGCAAGGAGTCTTACATGACCACCACAGATTACTGCAAGTCGCTCGACAAGAAGATGAAGTTGCTGTCCTACTTCAAGCGCTACATGATCGAGCATTTGGTGAAGGCAGGCGCCAACAATGTGAATATCGAAAGCGATCAGATCTCGCGTATGCCGCATTTGCACTCCTGGTTCCGTACAACGTGTGCCGTGGTCATGCATCTGACCAACGGATCAGTGCAGGTAAAGTCCCAAACCATTGGAATATATATTAGATAACTAATCACTGTCCGCCCCTTTAGCTTAACTTCTCGGACCACATGAAGCTCATCCTCTGCCCACGTATGAGTGCCATAACCTATATGGACCACGAGAAGAATTTCCGCACCTACCGATTCTCGACCATCGTGGAGAATGGCGTGTCTAAAGACTTGTATCAGAAGATCCGCTACGCCCAGGAGAAACTTAGGAAAATGCTGGAGAAGATGTTCATCTAATTGTAGCCAGGCCACTACATTTTAAGGCCGAAAGTTAGTTTAAGCTAATCAACCACGAATGCCCTGGCCAACTTTACATATAGCCCCAAACGAATCCTCTCCCATGCATTTAAAAAAATTGTAGTTTCTGTTTAAATTGATTTGATTGTTCTATGTTTTAGAGTTTATTTGTTTTCTCCTTTCCCCTTCATCTATGATTAAGTATTATTCATAATCAATGTTGGGCAATCAATCCATCAAATATACGTAGATATGTCTGTTTCACGGTTTTCGTACACGATCACTTAATAAATTTATAAAGAAGTAAAATTAAATGTTTAAAATAAGCAATCGTGTTCCGCGAAATCCACAATTACCCAGTTGACTGATATCGCCAATTAAATGCTGGATACATTATGAACCTAAGCTTAATAGATGTTTTAATCCAAATGCAAGGCGTGAAAGTGCTTTACAGGACAATTCACTTTTGATAAGTATTGGGCGGAAATGCCGTTCGTGATAAGATACAATTTGTAATTGCTTTTAATCGAAGAAGCCTATTTAATAAAATATATGGAAATAAAAAGATTGATTTCTTGACTTATATTAAATGTGATTTACTAAACATTTGGAAATACATATTATTTTTGTAAAGTGTAATACATTGATAAGGAGTTTGAACTGCAAAGCCGTTACAGCATTGGCATTTTACAACACTTGTACATGTCATTTCGACTGCGGTAGGCGATGGTAATACTGGCAAGAGTGATTTGGTCACTCTAATCAGCTTATTGATTTTATTTTCTCGAAAAAAGTTCCCAATACGTACACACTCGCTGAAAGGCCGAATAAGTCTTAATATTTAAATGCAATTAGTGCCGAGGCGGACATAAATCCTCGACATGGGTGACAACGAACAGAAGGCGCTCCAGCTGATGGCCGAGGCGGAGAAGAAGTTGACCCAACAGAAGGGTTTTCTGGGATCTCTATTCGGGTTCGTACAAACGAAATTTCGCAATGGGTAGTGGGGAAATTGCTCTATGTGTATGGTTAGACTTTCCATTTCCACATCCTCAGTTCCTTCAGATACTATACTATATAGTGACGAAGGGTTTCTTCAGCAGTTCCCATTCCATTATACTCACTATTAAAATATACCTACTCACGATAATACGTATACGTATAGATGTATTCTACGCCTCCACCCAGAAACTGAATAACGCAAAAGTGCGAATTGAACTGATAATAAGTTTGAGACTTGTATTACAATGCAGATGTAATGCAATGTATTGATAAGCGGGCCCTATATACCATAAACATATGTTTTGTCATTGTTTAATACAAAATTTACGCATGAGCTTATTTCCATACAGGTTTTGATGATTCATGGTATTTAAAAGTTAAACAATCAAAAAAATATCGAACTATTTGTCATAACTTTCCAGAATTTGATTAATAAATTATTTATTTAGATCGTTAATTAGTAGTAAAATATTTAAACTAAAGTGAATATCGATTGGAGAATTTTTTTCTAAATTACTTTTTTTGTAAAAAAATGTTTTGAAGCTTAAACATTTAAAATATTTTGGAATTGCGCTGTTAATCATTTAAACGATTTAGGATTTTAAAAAATCAATTAGGTAAAGAACAGTTTTATTTATATGTCTTTTCTAATAACATAAAAATGTATACTAATCAATAAAGGTAAAAACTTGTATTAGCAGGACTGAAAACTAACCGATTTCCACAATTTCAGGGGCTCCAACAAGGTGGAGGACGCCATTGAGTGCTACCAGCGGGCTGGCAACATGTTCAAGATGTCCAAGAACTGGACAAAGGCCGGCGAGTGCTTCTGCGAGGCGGCCACGCTGCATGCCCGGGCTGGAAGTCGGCACGATGCCGGAACCTGCTACGTTGACGCATCCAACTGCTACAAAAAGGTGGACGTTGAGTGCGCCGTCAACTGCCTGATGAAGTCCATCGACATCTACACGGACATGGGTCGCTTCACAATGGCCGCCAAGCATCACCAGAGTATCGCTGAAATGTACGAAAGTGATCCTAATACTCTGGTGAGTTCTGGCTTAATTCAATAGATAGATTATGTACTTACTTTCGATTTTATTTTGTCCAGGCCAAGTCTATTCAGCACTACGAACAGGCAGCTGATTACTTTAAGGGCGAGGAGTCGGTCAGTTCGGCCAACAAGTGCATGCTTAAGGTGGCCCAGTACGCTGCCCAACTGGAAGACTACGAAAAAGCAATATCCATATACGAGCAGGTGGCCGCCTCCTCGCTGGAGAGCTCTCTGCTCAAGTACAGTGCCAAGGAGTACTTCTTCAGGGCCGCCCTCTGTCACCTGAGTGTGGACCTTCTGAACGCCCAGCATGCCATTGAGAAGTATGCGCAGCAGTACCCAGCATTCCAGGACTCACGGGAGTTCAAGCTCATCAAGGTGGGTTTTAATTACGTTTCGAATTCTTTTTATAGTCGAGTTCCCTAGAATAGGGGCAGAACTCATCAACTATTAATTGTTTTCAATTACTAATGGAGTTCTTATTCAATTACAGGTGTTGTGCGAGCATCTCGAGGAACAGAACATCGAGGGATTCACAGAGGCCGTCAAGGACTACGACAGCATCTCGCGGTTGGATCAGTGGTACACCACCATCTTACTGCGCATCAAGAAGGCTGCGGACGAGGATCCAGATCTGCGATAAAATAATCAATTACAATTTCTGATGAAATCGCGTACACATTTATTAAATGCTTTATTCGGTTCGGATATTAATCTACCTATATATAACTAAATGGAAATTAATTAAACGTGTTGCATTGCTAAACCTGAGAGCACCCAAAACAGCCTGCTTAATCGCGTGAATTGAACTTACTGAATAGTCCATATACCCATGTTCTAGAGATTAAATTAACGCTTATGCAACGAATGAAAAAACAGCAGAGGCCACTGTTCATCTTGCGTTATTACGTGCTATCCGATTCAGTAATATTATTTCCAATACGGAGTGATTAGAGGTGTTATGTTTATCTGTTTTTGCGTTACTCTTGTTATTTGTGTAAGTAGCCAATCAGTAAGCTAGCTGCTGTTTTATTTGGATGCGTAATATCCCTATAGAAATCCGTATCCATACTACTATAAAATAATAATAACTTTCATTCTATACGTGTAATGTGTTAGATTATTTCGTGATTAACTAAAGAGTCCCTGGTAGTGAGTGATCATGAATTTCAAACCAATTATAATTTCATTGATTGCACAGAAAAAATTAAAACACAGTCTTAGATTGTACGCAAATACACAACCTATAAATAAAATATATGTCCATATACACATTAACAATTACCCCTATAAAAATATCCAAACGAAAAAAACGGAATTCTAATAAATACTTGAGGGTCACATTTATAGATAATTCCATCTCGCAAAATTTTAAAAATGTTTAGTAGATCAACTTCCTATAAACATGTACGATGCAAGTTATAATCCAATAAATAAAATAACGACGGAGCTGCGAAGATTACTCGGGCGCTGAGACCGAAACAAAAATATCAATTTATTGAATGAATATATCCAGGAAATACACACCACAACTCAATCCACAACACATTTAATTAATAACAATGCAAAGATCTAAGTAATGCCTCTATGCAAGCATTGCCATAGATATTTCCAATTAAAATACTTTAATAAAGTTACATGCTTGGATTAATCCTGTCATCCTGTCTTCGTATCCAACGATTTTTGTCAATATACGCACAACCAATCCAGTCACATTCATTGTCTTTCTATTCTAGCAACATGTACTTACACATCCTTGTAGGAAATATCTTTAATAGCATAGCTTGCACCTGTGCCGTTGAAATATAGTATTATTAGGTTAGATGGTAATGAAAAACAATTTTTCAAAGTAATAACAAAATCTCAAAGAGCTATTTTATTAGACAATCGAGGGAAAAAAATTAAGTTATCGGTATCAAACAGCAATACCTAGGCTGTTGTTATTTTTAATAACATTATTTTACAAGTCAATCTGTTATTTTGAACTTGATTTTCTACGTTTCATTCATATATGCGTATATTAGAAATTCTTAATTAGGTTGAAATGTCACTGTGTTTGCGGTAGGAAACTAAGCTGTACAGCTTTTATGTCAATTTAATTAGTGACTGGGGTTAACCCGAGATGTCAACCAGTTTCCATCTCAATGTGGTCAACGGATCAGCTGCAATCCAGTAGTATTTCCACCTGACCGTGCGAACTGAGATACTTTTGCGAACGTCATTGTCAAGAGCAACAAACAAAGGCCTGCCAATATAATTATCTCAGTTCTCTCGCTCTTTCTCGCCGAACCTGAGTCTGAACCGATTGGGGTCTGTGATTCAGAGTCGGGCTCTCGGGGCGATGACGATGGGATGAGATGACCATATCAATATCAATGCTCTGGAGGGTCGATGGAGCGATCTCTCAGTCATTCAGCCAATGTCCGTGCGTTAGGTTCACTTTATTGTGGGGATCGGGGTACTTTGGGTCTCCCAACGAGTTCTTCGCAAAACCACCAGTGGCTTAGTCCAGAATTTAAAATAAATAAATAGAATTATATAAACGCAAAACCAATACGTGAGCACCACCTATATGTATACCCTCCTGCTGACCGTGTATTTGTATATCTGTGGAATTCCCAGTGCATTCCGGTTTTACGAATCCAACCAACCAACAACAACAGTGTCTATATAAACGTCGCTTTGTCACTCTGAAATACCGACATCGAAAAACCCCAAAATACATCAATAAAGAGTAAAAAACCTCTCAATAATTGATGCACACCCACATGCTTACGCAAAAGTGTGATTCAATTCGTGTGCACAATCTATAATAACAAAATATTAAAGCCTTTGCTCTCAAAAGTCTGATAACCGAGGCTCAAACGAACTCTTTTCTCCAGCCACAAAATGCTCAAAATACCAGGTAAGTTTAATAAACAAATAATTATGATATATTTTCCAGTACAAGTTAGTTTTAAAGTCAATCAATACGCTAATTTGATATTTTACAAGTAGTCGTGTCTACAGTGCAAACATGAGTATATATAATACTTACATACATGTTTATAAGGTCGTCAGCGGATCAACGCTATCAGTTGGAAAATGCTCATTGTTTACGCATCTGGAAATAAACAACTCACCAGAGTATTTTTATAGTGTTATTAGATTTCAATAGTCCGGAAATAGGTTCATGTGTAGTTTTATCAAGGAATTGGAAATTTAAATTTATTTAAATAATTAAAGAAAAAAAAGTAGAGTATTATTAATATAATAATATTGAATTTAAATGATTAGTCAAAGGTTGGCTTTCAAAAATATATAAACAAACCACAGTTAAAAGTTATATATTTCCAATTGCAACTAAGTTACAATGAACATTACTATTTATTTTTAAGGCAAAATTAAACAATTTCAAATTAATTATATAATAACAATAATTTTTTAGTACTGTGTAGAATCAATCTTAAAATGTTATAAGTGATAAGTGTGCGCAAAATGAAAACCGCTATAACAGATCCCTTAAATTGCAGATCGCCTGATGGTTTGGATCCCTTTGCTTTTGGGGGCCACCTTCCTGTGCTCGGCGCAGTCTCAAAATGGCCAAGCTCCTCTTCAGCTCTCCGTGGGAAATCCACTGACCGCCTTCACAGCTCCCGAGGCTTTTCAGAAGGGAGTCAGCCACATCCAGGCTGTGCGGAGCAACTTTGACGAAGATGTCCTGGTCAGCATCTCGCAGGGAGTCCAGGACTTTGCCCTCGATCTCCTGCAGCGCATATCCATCGAAGTGGAGAAGGCCAACAGGGACTTCATGATATCGCCCTTCTCCGTGTGGTCACTCCTGGTGCTTCTCTACGAAGGATCCGAAGGAGAGACCTACAACCAGTTGCGTCAAGTACTGCGTATCAATGTTGAGGACGAAAAGCTGCGCGGAGCGTACAAGGTGTGGAGCTCCTTCCTCAAGTGAGTTATCAAAGTCAAAGTGACTTAATATTTATTAATTTCGGTGCTTCTTTTGTCCATTTAAGTACGACCACTCCCACCATCGAAGTGGCCACCCTGCAGGCCATTTACACCGGCAAGGATTATCCCATCAAGAACGACTACCGGAATGCCATCCAGAACTACAATGTGCAGCCCGTGGAAGTGGACTTCTATAGCCCCGAATCGGTGATACAGATCAACGAAGCCACGAATCGCACCACCCGAGGTCTCATTCCATATACCATTCTGCCACAGGATATATATGGAGCCAAGATGTTTCTGCTCTCTTCACTCTACTTCAAGGGGCAGTGGAAGGTGGGACATTGCCATTACTTGTTCCTCGAATTCTTTAATACATCTTTTTCGATTCCAGTTTCCATTTAACAAGACTCTGACTAGAGATGAGCCCTTTTACAGCGAGAGCGGCGAGGTTATCGGCAAGATACCCATGATGGTGCAGGAAGCGAACTTCGCTTACGTCTCCAACATAGAGGGTCTGGATGGCTATGTCCTGGAGCTTCCCTATGGAACCCAGAACAGACTAGCAATGCTCGTGGTTCTGCCCAAACGCGGGTTCAAGTTAAATGATGTGGCCAACAATCTGAAGACCCTGGGATTGCGGCCTATCCTTCAGCGGCTGGCGGCTTTCAGGGAGAGAGCCTCCGAGGACAACGAAGTAGAGGTCATGATGCCTAAGTTCATGACTACCACAGACTTTACACTCAAGGGAATCCTTATAAAGGTGGGTGAAATGCTTGTATCTTTTTTCTTTCGATTATAAATAGTTTTTTCGTTACCAAAAAGTTACTTAAAGTTACATTTTAAATAATCTATTATTATTAGTTTTAAAATTTTTAATTAAAATATAACCAGAACTAACATATTTATATTAAACTTGTTTTCTATACTTAGATGGGCATTCGAGATCTATTCGACGAGAATGCCGCTAACCTAACCCGGATGTCGTCCGGATTGTTTGCCAAGCTAGTCGTCCACTCCACCAAGATCATCGTGGACGAGCAGGGAACCACGGCAGGTGCTGTCACGGAGGCTTCGCTGATCAACAAGGCCACGCCACCCAAGTTCCTGCTGAACAAACCCTTCCAGTACATGATCGTCGAGAAGGCAACCGGTCTGTTGCTCTTCGCCGGCCAAGTTCGGAACCCCAAGGCGGCTTAGAGATCTGAGCCTGACTTTATTCGCATACCACAATAAATACCTTACTTTAAGCCAAATCGGGTATATTTCTTGGTGCGGTACAAGCTCTTCTTGTAAATCAGTTAGGCTACTTTATCGTCTTCGATTATCACCAGATGGGATTGCATTTCATTCGATATTTAGGATGTTCAAAAACTTTTTCTGACAACAAAAAAACTACTCGCATCATTTTTTAATATTCTAACAACACTGCAGAGAAGGATTTTTTAAATCAATATATGGTTTATGCTATGAAAAAATATTTTAAGCATTCTATTTTTCATCGCATGCAACTATGGGGCCCTGTCTGAACGCACTACTAAACTTATGGTATGCATTTAATGCCTTAGTAATCTCTTTCAAAAAAACTTGAATATTCTAGGTCATGGACAATTTGAAAAAATCAAGACACGCCTACAAAAAAGAGCAGTGAAATTTATGTAAATTGAGAAACTGATTTTACTTTCTGGTGTACTCGGGACATGACTTGGAATATTGAACCAAAAATCTATAATCAGGAAGCCTATAAATAAAGTTTTCACAATCAAATGGTTAGTGTCGAACAGAACACTTTGGGTGTCGAAATAAACAAGCTTTTTTAAGGATACTTTTCCAAAAGAGTGAACAAGGATACGGGTCCTTATTGTAAATTCTCATTTTCTTCAACTGCAGATAATATGAAGATCGGGTGTTCAGTGTTTTTTGGCGGCTTAGTAATTTTATTGGCACATGGCCAATATGCCCAGACAACGAATGAAAAAGTGGAAAAAATGATTCAGGGAATCCAGAAATTTTCTCTCAATCTACTGCATAAGGTGATCTTATATAGAGAAGAGAAAATGCAACACGTGAACGAAATGATATCGCCCTTTTCCGTGTGGACCATGTTGCTAATGTTATACCATGGAGCGAAAGGAAAAACCTTCGAGCAGCTGCGTGATGTAATGGGGATCACCGTCGAAGATGCCGAACTGAAAAAGTTCTATGAAGACACGCGCGAACTTCGAGAGTAAGTAAAGAAAGTAAGACGTAATATAACTTTTAGAAGTTACCAAATTTCAAATCTTAAAACATAATATAGTATTCTGTAAAAAAGCTTCTGCTTATCATTATCGCTGGCTTCTTTTTTCCACTTAAGCGCCGATTCTTCCGAGCTGGAGATTCGCTCCTGGCAAAAGCTGTACCACAGCAAGAATTATCTTATTAATAGTGACTACAACAATGTTACGTATGAGTACGATATGGGACCCGAAAGAAAAGATTTCGAACAGCAGGTGGGATATATCAACGATGATATTCGGGCGGCCACAAACGATTACATTCACGCCACTATTCAGAAAAATAGTATATCTGGGGCCAGGATGTTGTTGGTCTCTGCCATATACTTCATGGCCAAGTGGAAGGTAAGACTTTGACGGTTTCTTTCCTACAGATCCTTCAATACATTGTGTTCATTTCCAGCATCCCTTCAACGAGAAATTGACGAGAGAAGAACCATTTTATAACGAGACTTCCCCATACAGGCAAATCGCTAAGGTGTCCATGATGATGCAGATAGCCAAGTTCGCCTACGTTGATGAGATTAAGGGTCTGAATGCCCGTGTCCTGGAACTGCCTTACGGTACAGAGGACACACTAGCGATGCTCGTAATGCTGCCCAATCGCGGATCTACAGTCAAGCAGGTGGTAAACAATCTAATGAAACTGGGCTTGCTTTCCATTCTGGATGCTTTTACGAATAGAGATGCGGAAAACGATGTGGAGGTCAAGATTCCCAAGCTCAATACGTACTCCGCATATATACTTCCGAAGTTTCTATACCAGGTAGTTGCAATTATATAATTAATTGAAACTTTCACATCAAATTGAAATCCAACAAAAGATAGGTCTCGAGGATGTGGTAACCTCTAATAAGGCAAACCTAGAGGGCATGACCAAGGGGCCAGATTCTATAAAGATGTCCCTCTCGCACAGCCTCCATTTCAGTCGGATAATCATGGACGAAATGGGTACGCCTGGAGCAACTCCGAAGCCTGCGCGGTCCAACAAGACAGGAGTGATTGAGTTCCACATGAACAAGCCTTTCGTTTACCTTGTCGTGCAGAAGGAATTGAAGCTCATACTCTTCGCCGGAGCTGTGCGGAATAGGGATAGGAAATGATTCAATGTGTCACAGTGCGAAAAAAATAAACTTATAACATGCATGGGCCTTGTGACCCACATTTGTTTAATCTTTATCACTTTAGTTTTCTTTAGTCTGACAGTAAAAAGTAATTTATCCGGCAGAACATTTCTTTTTCTAAATCTTAGGAACGTTTCTTCTCAAGGGAGCGATAATCTAATTGATTGTATAACTACTTTGACAAAATAAAGGCTTGTGCACGAAAATAAAGCTTTAAAATGTCGAGCTCGAAATAGATTTTGCTGTCTAGTGCAATTAGACCGTGGCCTGGAATATTAAACTGTAAAACCCTAACCTAATTAGAAAGTGTATAAATAGGATTTGGCTTGGTTCAATTAACAATTTCGATATGAGGAAAACTTAAACTAAGGAGTTATATAGAAAAAGCAAGCGCCATCGAACGACCTGTTAATAACATAATGTCTGGACTTTCATTGCTGTTGTGCGTGATGTCCATTGTCCTACCGATGGTGCTGGAGATATATGCCCAGTCATCCCCGCAGGGAATCCAGGACTTTTCCTTTGATCTCCTGCAGCGCGTTTCCATCGAAGTGGAGAAGGCCAACAGGAACTTCATGATATCGCCCTTCTCCGTGTGGTCACTACTGGTGCTACTCTACGAGGGATCGGCGGGTAGAACTTATGACCAGCTGCGCCAGACCCTTGGGATCAACTTTAGCGATGAAAAGCTACGTAAATTCTGTAAGGTTGTGCATCAGTTTTTGAAGTAAGTTGAATGATTATATCGATTAAGAAAGATAATTATTATTATCATTGTAAACAAAACATCTGATCTAATTGCCAAATCTAACTTTCCATAAAAGCACCAACATTTCCGATGTCGAGATGGGCATGCTGCAGGCCGTTTACACCGGCAAGGATTACGCTACTAAGAACAACTACCGAAACGTCATCCAGGACTACAACATGGAGCTTTTTGAAGTCGATTGAGGCTACGAATCGTGTCACTCGAGGTCTCATTCCGTATGCCATTCTGCCAGAGGATATATATGGGGCCAAGATGTTTCTGCTCTCCTCGCTCTACTTCAAGGGCCAGTGGAAGGTGGGGTATTGGCATTACTTGTTCTTCAAATTCTTCTATTATATCCTTTTCGGTTCCAGTTTCCATTTAACAAGGCTCTGACTAGAGATGAGCCCTTTTACAGCGAGAGCGGCGAGGTTATCGGCAAGATACCCATGATGGTGCAGGAAGCGAACTTCGCCTACGTCTCCAACATAGAGGGTCTGGATGGCTATGTGCTGGAGCTTCCCTATGGAACCCAGAACAGACTAGCGATGCTCGTGGTTCTGCCCAAACGCGGATTCAAGTTAAACGATGTGGCCAACAATCTGAAGACCCTGGGATTGCGACCTATCCTTCAGCGGCTGGCGGCTTTCAGGGAGAGAGCCTCCGAGGACAACGAAGTGGAGGTTATTATGCCCAAGTTCATGATTACCACACTGATAAAAAAATGGAATAGTACATTTAAATATCCGCATATTGAATCAAAAATTTCATATTTCGTATTTAAATTTAATACAAAAAACATTGTATTAAATACGAAACATATTAAATTGCATAGTTTAATACTAAAATATTTAAATCAAAGAAGAGCATATTTAATTTAAATTTGTTTATATTTATTTTTAAAAATATTATATTTATCGTTAATATTTTCAGAATTAAAAAAATCCGTATTTAAATTAAAAATGTTTCATATTAATTTTAAGTATTCAAATTATTTTATTTTAAAGTTTTTAATATTTAAAATAAAAATGTTTGTAATAATAATAAAGAAAGTTTCAATTTGAAAGGGTTTTTCAATGTTTATATCAAATAAAAACACCTCAAGAAGATATCTTTTATATTTACGTACAAATTAATTAATTAAAATGTATTTTATTTGTACTATCACATTTAAATATGTTTCATACTTAAATATTAGTTTCTGCCATGTCCGTTTTTAAGTACGATAATATTTAAAATAAATATTTTAAGCTGACTTTAACAAAAAGATTTATTTCATAAACTGTATACTCATGTCCATACATTTTTAAAAACAAATTTATATACATTAAAGTAAATTGACATATGTACATATGTATGTACGTACATATGTAAATGGGCAGAACAAAAACGAAGGCGCTAAGATAATTCTTGGCGGTTTTTTTTTGTTCTATCCTACACACATTCTTTCGCGTTTGCTTTGATCAATGACTCTTCTTCTTGATCACTAAACGACGCGTGTTATTGAAGAGTTGCAGCCGAAGAAGTTGGACGTGTCGGGTCTTTATAAAAGTGAAGTTGGCATACAAATATAAAATTAAACTTGATCGCGCTATCAAAAAATCATGTGAAGTTTCTTTAAATAAATAAGTGTGTATGTTGGCAGCAACATTCAATGCCAAAAAGTACATTTTTCGCGGCATGTCTTTTCTTTAAACTGTATTCGGCCATACATACATATGTATGTACATATGTACAATTGTTTCCGCTTTTTCAACACGGCACGACGCTTGCCATTTCATAATTGCAGCCAAAGAAGTAGGACGTGTCGTATCTTTTTTAAAGTGAAAATAGTCTAAAAATTAATATGTGCATATGTGTGTATAAAAGTTAAATTAAAATTATCAAAAATATTTTACTCGTACTGCGTTTTCCTAGAATACAACAAATTAGCGCGCGCCGTTACACGCATACATATACATACATACATATGCACGTAGAATGTATTAATTATTAAGTGGATTAAAATTTTCGGTTCTCAGAAACGTATGAACATACAATCAAGTGCAGCTACACACACATACATAACACACCGTGCGTTTACCGTTGCTTGGTCGCCAACAAAGTTGAGCGTGCCCTAGCGAACACACACATGTATGTACATTTTCTGCAACACATCTACCCACACACAGCGTGCGTTTACCGTTCCTGGCAAAGTCATAGGTAAGTAAAAAACGTAGAAATAAATACATTTTTAAAAGTAAGAATACGGCAAAGTAGGTTTTAAATTAAATATGTAATAAATTTGTTCTATATCATTCCTCGCAGTGGCAAACAAATACATTCTCGAACCAACATACATATATGCCAAATATACAAATTCCAGAACGAAGCATATAAAACTGGATAAAATATTGGAGGTTCCTGTTGAGAATAAAACCGATACTCGGCGTAAGGATGTGAAAACTTTCGATGGAGCTGAGCTTTTGAAAGTATGGCCAAAATATGCTGACTCGCGGGCGCCGGAATTGGTAATTTATAATTTTAGTCAGACTACATTCGGATTTTGTCTTTTTATTTATTTTTTTTGTGCTCTTTTGTTGTTTTCTTTCAGGTCCAAATCTTTAACCATTCATATTTTGATTGATCTCTTTAAAACGAAATCTATAATTTTCTTTTTTATCTTACTATTTATTTCGCAGATAACTTACAAAACTAATAAGTGTTTAGCTATTAAGATAGGTAATACTCTAAGATTGTTTAAAGTACTTTCTTTCGTTTATGAATTGACAACTGTGTATGTAGCGTGTAATGCTATAGAAGTTAAAACATGCAACCATTTGCAGGCATATGAATGTGGAATAATTAAAAATGTATTAGTTCTTAAAAAACATTGAAGAGTTTTCAAGCCATCCAATGCACATGTATGTATGATGTAAATGTTAAAAAATATGTTTTATACAGATCTCTGTAAAATAAATATAAGTGTAACTGTATTATTTGTACCTTTCAGCAAGCCGTAATGAAAAATAAATGTTTAAATAAAATCGAAAAAACAAAAATAAAAGTTGTGTACTAATTTTTTTTAGTGTACCAAAAATATTTGAATACTTATCATATTTAATATTATGATTGGCATATTTTGAATAAATATGTCTAGTATTGAATCTTAATACGACTTATATTGAATTTTAATATTTCGGTTATTCATTTAACTATTAAAAATTTAGAATTTAATATGGTTTCTATTTATATTAAACACGTGTACTATTTAATTCAAATTTTAAAAATTTAAAATCAAATAGTCATAATATTAAATAGAAATATGCATTGTATTTAATTTAAATATGGCTTATATTTAACTTAAATATTTAAAATATTAAAATCTATTCCGAAAATATTTAAATTTAATATGGAAAAAAAGGTTAATATGCGCATATTGAAATTTAATAAAAACCGCAATGGATGAAAATCAAAGCGAAAAATATTTGGGTTGAATATGAAATATTTGGATTTACTACGTTTTTTTTATCAGTGCACTGACTTCGAACTCACGGATATCCTTATCCAGGTGGGCTTGACTATTTGTATAATTAATCCTTATATTTGAAATGTTTTATTGATTTTAATAACCAGTTACAGAGTGGATTTTAAGAAACCATAGTTATTAGTCCTTATTTATGGACTTTAAGTTTTTTAATTAGAAACAACTGGAATTTATCATATTTTATTCCGAATTTGTATTCCTAGATGGGCATTCGGGACCTATTCGATGAGAAGGCCGCTAACCTGGACCGGATGTCGTCCGGATTGTTCGCCAAGCTAGTCGTCCACTCCACCAAGATCATTGTGGACGAGCAGGGAACCACGGCAGGAGCTATCACAGAGGCTGCGCTGATCAACAAGGCAGCGCCGCCCAAGTTCCAGCTGAACAGACCCTTCCAGTACTTGATCGTAGAGAGGGGATCTGGCCTGATGCTCTTCGCCGGCCAAGTTCGGAACCCCAAGGCAGCTTAAAAATCTGAACATGATTTTATTTTCAATGAACATAAAAAGGTTTAATGAGTTTATTTCTTGATGCGATAAGGATATATGTATTAAGTGATAGGAGAATGTATTAAATATGTATGTATTTTTTTTCTAGTGAATTCAAAGCATTGTTTAAAATAAACTAAATAATGTATAGTTTACAACAAAGTATTAACTTTTTTATTTATACTTTTGTATATTAGATTCATCGGAGAGTTGGTAACAGGTAGCTTAGTAACGGGTATCTGATAGTCGAGGCCATCGGCTATAGCTTTCTCTCTTGATTAAATCAAATATTTTAGAAAATTCAAATTTATTTGATTTTGGGAGGCTTTAAAGGGTAATGATATACATACGTGAATAATATAGGCAATATTGCAAAATACTTTGACAGATTGAAGTCTTATGCACGAAAAGGACTTTAAAAATTGTCTGGAAATATATTTTACTCAGATCATGGCCGCGAATATTATACTTAAATAATATATGAAATTGAAAGTGTATAAATAGAGTTTCCCTTAACAAATTTTCCAGTCTCTAACAGACAGGTGTTGTGAAAATCGCGGAAGTCAAAATAGGAAAAATAATTAAGGATTACATAGAAGGAACACTTTAACAAGATGTTTAAATTTCCACTTATATTGGCCGTCATTGTCCTTATGATGGCGCATGAGGAATACGCCCAGTCTTTATCGCAAGGAGTCGAGGACTTCTCCTTAGAACTCTTTCGCCGAATAGCCGTCGGCTCGAACCAGGACTTCATGATATCGCCCTTCACTGTGTGGTCACTTTTCGTGCTTCTCTTCGAGGGATCGTCAGGAGGAACTTATTACCAACTGCGTCAAGCCCTTGGGATCAATGGCGATGATAGAACTTTACGTGAGTTCTCCAGGGCGCGGAATCAGTTTCTCAAGTGAGTAATATAAATCTATCTATTGATAAAAAACACTTATTATTGCAGATAATACAATTTAATAATATTAACTAAATATATTTTTGTACAGAAACATTACAAAAGAACAGTCTTTTGAAGTCATTTTCATAAAAAACTAAGAGACAGGTATCTTACTAAATGGTTGTTTCTCCTCTTTTTTAAAAGCCTCATGACTAACGAAATCGAGATCAAAGCCCTTCGTGGCAATTACGTCGCCCACAAATTTTCGATCACTCCGATATACAAAAGTATACTGCAGCAGTACAGCATTCAGCCCTTCGAAGTAGACTTTAAAAACCTGGGTACGGTGTGTCGCATTAATGAGCAAATTTCTTATGCCACCAGAGGCCTTATAAAAAACACTGTACAACAACGAGATTTAAGCGACGCCACAATGTTTCTGCTCTCCACCATTTACTTCAAGGGTAAATGGAAGGTAGAATAGGCTTGTTCTTTGTAACAGATCCTTTAACACATCCTCTGCCATTGCAGTTTCCCTTTAGCAAGGATATGACAAGGGTTGCTCCGTTTTACAACGAGAACGGTCAGGTTATCGCACAGGTACCCATGATGAACCAGGAAGCTAATTTCCCCACTGTCTACCTAGCGGAACTGGCCAGTACTGCTTTGGAGTTGCCCTACGGGTCCCTAGAGTGGATATCGATGATCGCGGTGCTGCCCAACGAAAACGTTACGTTGAATACCGTGGTCAACAAACTCAAGACTGTGGGACTGCAACGCATTCCTCAAAGGTTAGCTGAGTATAAAATGAAAAACAGCGACGCAATGATTGACGTTTCGATGCCCAAGTTTGAAACGACTACGGACCTTTCGCTCAATGATATCCTTAAGCAGGTTTGTGAACTCTTTAAAGTAATTTACAGATAATTACCTATCAGTAATGAAAAGTATTCGTATAATCGAATTTGTCATTACTGAAATTGAAAGTTTAAAAAAAAAACTTTTAGATTTAAATTTAGTTTACCAAACTTCTTGCATTTTAAACTGTCTAGATGGGTATCCGGGATTTATTCGACCAAAACACTGCCAATCTGGACCGCATATCACCGGGATTATACGCCTCACTGTGCAAACACTCCAGCAAGATAATTGTCGATGAACAGGGAACCGAGGCCGCAGGGATCACGGGTTTATCGTTAGGCTTTAAATTCCTTTCACCCCGAATCGACCTGAACAGACCCTTCTTGTACTTGATCGTGGAAAAGCAAACCGGCCTGCTGCTCTTCGCTGGCCAAGTTCGGAATCCTAAGGCCTAATCCAAAGCCTAGCGAGCCTCTATAAGTATACCATAAAAAATACTTAACGTTTAGTCAAATCTGGTTTATTTCTTGGTACGACCGGCGGCCTTTTTTCCGCCCACAGGTTGCTGCTTATCTTTGCTGGCCTTGCTGGAAATGAGAGGATGGGTTTCTGTAATAAAAAGTAAATGTTTAAAGTGGCCATAAATGTTGTTTTTTGGATCATACCATCGGTGGGAGCATCAGGTAGGCTGACATCGTATAGCTGCATGCGTCGGCGCTTGGAAGCCATTATATCGTCCTCGTAGTCATGTGGATCAGTGCTGAGCATCACTGCACTGGCCTCCAGTCCGTCCTGACTAGCCCAACCGTCCTCGGGATCCTCCACCTCCGGCGCCATGGGCAGGAACTGCAGCGCGTTCTCGTCCTCGCCCTCCTCGTCGGAGGAGCAAAAGGCAGCCACTGGCTCAACCTTCTGCACATCCACCTCAATTTCCTCGTCTTGTTGGGCGTCTGCGTTCAGGTCCACAGACTTGTCTTCGTCCGCAATATCGAACTCTGACTCCCGCTCCTCGTACTCTACGTTTTCATCCAATTCCTTGAAATCTGGTGCAAATGCAGACCAGTTTTCCACTTGATTTTGGGCCCATATCGATACAAGCCCGGAGCTGATGCTGGCGATGATGGGCCGGACAGGATGCCACACTACGTCCAAGAGCAGCTCACCCTTGGTGCCGTGCAGGATCTTAACCAGGTTGCCTATGGACTTCTCCCATATATAGAGAGCATGCTGGCGCGCACTGCCGGCGCAAATGTACTCGCCATCGCCGGAAAAGCAGCACTTCTTCCAGGTGGTCCTAAATGGAACATATTGTGATCAAACAAATGGTTTTAAATGGTTGGCTTAAAGTGTTACTTGTTAACTAAGTCCTGCAGCTTTTGTATAGGCTCCGGCTCACCATCTTTGCCTAACGTGATAATTTCCTTGGAGTCATAGACTCGAATTACTCGATCTGAGGTGTTGATAAGGAATGCACTAGGAAATGAATTTAAATATGAGCAATAGAGTTCGATAAGGTTTTCTATTTCCACACTTACTCTCCGCGCCTCGCGAATTCTATGCTCTTTACAGCCGTTGCACTTGAGGTACCCACAATAATGCGAAAACTGGCGACCACCTCAAAGGTTTCCACATCCAGGACGAGTATTTTTCCCTTGGCATTGCCTGTGTAGATGTGCTTGCCTCTGCGATCGAAAGAGGCCACAATGTTTAGGTCGCCCTAGGGGGTAACGACAAAGAGTTATCTAAAGAATGATGCTCCCAATTCTAGAGTCAAACCCACATCAGAGTCCAAGGGCAGGCAGCGGTGCGATCCGCCGATCTCTACCATAACGGCGGCATATCGCATGGGGCAGACTAGGAGTCGGTTATCATTTCGCGGATCGAACTGAACCTTTAGCACGGGCGAGGGAAACCTGTACTTGTGCTCCAACTCACCGGTTAGCACGTCCCAAATGCACACATTGTTGTCCGTGGAAGCTGAAAGTAACTGCAATGGAAGGGAATGTTGTAAGTACTATACAGTGAGGAGGAGGTGACCACCCACCTTGTGACCATTCCTGGTCCAACTGAGACTGCAAACGGGATGTACATGGGCTGAAATAATCTTCGCAATGCCCCGCGTCAGGAAATCCCAAATCACGATGCGTCCATCATTACAGCCTACGGCCAAAAGGGTTCCGTACTTGTTAAAGGCACACGTCACGGCCAGTGAAATGCAGTCCAGAGAGCCGTCGAACTCCTCGGGGTAGTTCTGTCCAAAAGATTCTGCAGAAATCGGAGGTTAATATTTAATAAACATACAGATTTGGCGCGTTTCTTACCTAGCAGCTCCAAATTCATTTTTGTTTACTATCTTCTTCTTCCAAGATGACAACTGACACTCACAAGGAAGCGGCGTAACATGGATGTTAATAAGCATTCGATTAACATTATTTTATCTAATCGATAGCTTGTTTTATATTTAAACTGTTCAATTAAGTAATAAGTATGTATAATAATCCTTTACAAATTTTGTAAATTTTTTTTATTTGATAGTTTAATAGCATTTATTAGTCTTTTGCAAAAAAACAAAATTCACGGAATGTTTGCAAAAATATTAAATAAAAGAACCCTTTGTTAATAACAAAAGTGGAAATCATTTTTAAATTGCACACATACATCAAATTAACAATTATTTTAAGTTGTTTCAGCAGGACCTGTTAATTTATAAGCTCTAGTGACAATCGATAGTCTTTCTCTAACACCAACGATAGTCCCACCCGATATCTCAAAACTTTTGAAATATCGATAGTGTCATCGGATTTTCCCCACCTCTATTTTTTGAGCTCTGTGCACGTTGTATGTGAAAAATTTATGCAGATGTATTCGCCAATTGTAACCAAGCCCGGATTGTGAAATTACAAGCAGACAGCGAGCAGCATAATAAGTGCATTCAGTTGGCCAAGCGAACGTTTTGAAATAAGCCAATTCGGTGACATTTCGGCCATGGCACGCGATTGTGTCAACGTCACCTTTGGAGCACTCGCTCTCTCTCGCTCGCTCGCTCCCCCTCTCGTTGCTGCCAATTTTTTGCGTTCGCTCTCTCGCTCGCCCCCGAAAGCTTAACGGTTGGAGTGAAATAATGAAATAACCGAGATTCGACTTTCGTTCACAACAAAAGTGCGGCCCTTTTATGCCAACATTACTTTTAGTTTCGAACTGTTTTCAAATCTGTTTCGAGGTTTTTCCAGTTGGCCAGCGAGTGACAGAGAAGGGGGGAGCGAACAAAGTAGTATGCAATTACGGTGCTCGCGCTCTGCTTGTGCCTTCCACTCCTCTCTCTCTCGTCTTAGCTTTTCCCCCCATCGCCCCTGCCCTTCTTCGTCGCATTAACTGTGCATGTGTTTGTGTTTTATTTTAAACGTTTTTTAATCGTTGCAGTGTATTCATCGCCAGCCACGTTAAAAGGAAGAACGTGTATGTGAATACGACCAGCAGAGCAGAGAAGCCAAGTGAAGGATTCAGGAGCCCAAATTCTCAATCCCCATCCCACACAGCCTTACGCACACATACGCACGCTCTCCGGGAGAGGAAGGGTAAATAAAACAAGCAACGAGCAAAATGTCTGGCGAGGAAACGTCTGCCGATCGCAATGTCGAGATCTGGAAAATCAAGAAGCTCATCAAGAGCTTGGAAATGGCCCGTGGGTGAGTGTTGTGGATAATATCCTTGTTATTCCGATTCCCCACCTCTTTTGTGTACGTGCGTGGGGTATACACAACGCAAAAACAACAACAGGGGTGGAAGTGGGCGTAGTGTGGGTGGGGACGCGGGGAGCAGCGAGTACAACCACCTTTCCTTGTCTTGTTGTTGCCGAGCGACTCGACTCTCCTTTGCATTGTCTCCAATCTCCGCACGATCCCTCGCTCTCTTCCGCCCTCTCTTTTTTTTTGCATACGAGCAACACGTTTTTGTCGGGTTTTTATCAGTTCAAACTAGACTGATTGAGTGTTTGAGAGAGGCATAGAGCGAGAGAGAGGGATTGGGAGTGAGTAATGCGCCTCGTGGCCGTTGTGCGTGTGCGTATGTGTATGTGTGTGCCCCGAAATGGGCCAAGCTTTGTTGCCGTCCCCCCCTCCGCTCTCACTCTAACACTTTCCACCAACCGCCTTCGCCCCATCTCGCTCCCTCTCTCGACCCGGTCCTTACCGCTTTACTCCGCTTCAGAGTGGGTAACAAGGTCAGCGAATAGAGTGACCCCCGCAGGAACATAACTAGATATATATGCATATATATCTTGTTGTCAACATACGCCACAGTTGGGGCCAACATAATACAGCTGCCAACTGGAGTTTGCCACCCTTGCCAATTGGACTTTGCTGAGTACAGTTATCTAGGTTCTCCCATTGGTTTTCATTCAAATGCAATATATATTTTTATATTCCATGTTTTTGTTCCTATTTCTTAGTCGTGTATTAAAAGTAAAAGCTGTCAGTCGAAGTTGTTATACCCTTTTGCATAGATAACGAACATTTAATAACGTATCGTTTATATAAAAAAATCTTTAAAATCATGATCACATACAAGTTAAAAAAATAATACAATACAAAAGTCATTAACAAATGTATTAACTTTGTAAATAAAGTGGGTCTAACTTCGTTGAAATACCATTTTTTTTGATAGTGCAACAATAATAACAATAACCTTATGTTTTTTATTTAGGAGGCAAATTACTCAAGATCAAAATTATAACCCAATAAGAAAAACTCAATATCTAAAGGAAATAAAAATAAATATAGAGTAACCGAAACTGTTAAAGACTAAGACCATTTTAAGTACTATATAATTACTCAACCGGAATGCTAAGCCATGTAAAGATTTTTTCGCATGTGACAGAATTTCAAGGTCTATTTGCAAAATTAAAGTAGGTTGCTATTCCTAGTAACCGACGTGTGAATATCAATTTGTCGTGCACTGTTTCTATGGGAGAAAAATACCCTATTATCTTGGCTATTTCCACGTCTAACTTTCTCCCCTTGTTTTGCGTTTTTCAGCAATGGCACCAGCATGATTTCTTTGATTATTCCGCCAAAAGATCAAATCTCGCGCGTCAGCAAAATGTTGGCCGATGAGTTTGGAACGGCCTCGAACATCAAGTCCCGGGTAAACCGCCTGTCCGTCCTCGGTGCCATTACGTCGGTACAGCACAGACTCAAATTATACACCAAAGGTGAGTTGTCAACAATCCTAGAGATCCTTAAAACCTAATCCCTGCTCGATTTCAGTGCCTCCCAACGGTTTGGTCATCTACTGCGGCACAATTGTCACAGAGGAGGGCAAGGAGAAGAAGGTGAACATAGACTTCGAGCCATTCAAGCCCATCAACACGTCGCTTTACCTGTGCGACAACAAGTTCCACACGGAGGCCCTCACTGCCCTGCTCGCCGACGACAACAAATTCGGATTCATCGTGATGGACGGTAATGGAGCGCTGTTCGGAACCCTTCAGGGCAACACCCGCGAGGTGCT